AGATTTTGTTTACACCATTCTAGATGGCAGGTAACCATACACTCCGTTATGCAAGCAAAACTACGTTCCTGGTATTACCAATTCAGGAGTTTACGGCGCGAATACAAATATAACCAAATTTTAGCAGGGAACGTATGACAATAACAGATATAAAACGGAGGAACGGCAGGGCAGTACGACAGCAGCCCTTCAAGTGGCAAATCAATTTCATATCAGAATACAAGAGCTGATATGCGATATACCAAACATGTCAGATTGGGTTAAAAAATCGCTATTGAACAAAGATACATAAAGTCATTTAAGTATAATTCTTTTCAGGATTGGAAAAGAATTGGTAGAGGAGGATTTGGCACTGTATAGAGTGCTTTTTCAAGAGATGTTGGAAAAATTATAGCTTTAAAGAGTTTAGATTGCGATGATAATGATATTTTGCGAGATATATTTATCAAGGAAATTAAAAATCTTCAATGGTTGTACATCATGATAATATAGTACGATTCTTTGGAATCACACAAGATCCGAACACCGAAAAATACTATATGGTTCTTCAATTCGCTAACAATGGCGGCCTTCGTAACTATTTAAGAAATCATTTTCAGAATTAGATTGGGAAACTAAAATTAGTGGGATTAATTGTTTATACAATGCAGTGCACGATGGTAAATTAATGATTACGGATTTTGGCATATCTAAATTATTAGAGAATAACTCCAAATCTATTTCTGGTGGGACCTGTGCTTTTTCCGATCCAAAATATCTTGAAGACTCTTCATGTAAACGGGATAAAGCTTCTGATATTTATAGTCTCGGTGTACTTTTCTGGGAGTTATCTAGTGGTTTACCTCCTTTTAGAAATAAGCCTAATTCAGAAATAACTTTACAAGTAGTTAAGGGAAGCGAGAAACACCTATTAAAGGGACACCGATTGAATTTATGATTATTTATTGCGAAGCTTGGAATAACGATCGATGACGGTTGCGGTTTATGCAAGCATATTCTGATTAACGATCGTCATTAAACTTTGGAACCCGATCGTCATCAGAATAAACACGCACAGATTATGATGCACATTTCATGGCTACGCATATTCCAGGCACACTAGCAACTATGCTACCAACAAAAAAAAAAAAAAAAATTGAAAGCAAATCAAACTGCACACAAGCACTACATTCTGACCGAAATGGCAGAATTCTACTGTTCTAATTATTTGGAATCCACGTAGGATCCTGCCATTTTGTGGCAGCTTAAACGTCTCTTTACGACCGGCCTGCGTTATGCAGGCAGGAAACCACCGGCAAAGATCATGTGACTACAAAGCTTATGACTAACAGCCGGCCAACATTTATGCGGGTGGGAAACCACCGGCTAATGCCAATTATACATCAAACGCACTGATTTATGCTATATATCTCTGTCAATTATACATCAAACGCACTGATGTATGCTATATATCTCTTTCAATTATACATCAAACGCACTGATGTATGCTATA